CCCGGCCGGGTAGAATGGTGCGATCTAACCATTTAAAGTCTTGATCATCATCGCAGTACACCCTAACCGGATCGAAGCGATGTCAAATAACGATTTAAAAATAATCGCGATTGATATGGTAATAAAATATTAATAATAGAAATTTTTTTTTTTGCCGATTTCTATTTTCAATATTGCAAAGTTCATATCAGTTGCAACAACTGATCAATATTCAGTGCTCAATCATTGGACCACTTTGGATCGGCAGCAAAGATGAGAAAAATATTGTGACCTTTCAATATTTAATTAATATTATTTCCTAAAAGGGGGATTTAGGGCAATTAAATAATAAGGACAAATGAGGGATAAAATTAACTAAATATCTATATTTCTAGTAATTTACAGATTAGATCGTCGTAAGACGTTTGAAATGCCTTTTACTTGGATCTAGGGTTATGGGTAAGGNTAAAAGGGGAGAAGCTAATCGTGTCAAGGGAATGCAACTAAATATCCAAATAATAACTGAATGGGGAAGAAACAAAAGAGTGTAGGCTCACCGTTGGGGGGTATGAAGGGTAATATTGTGGGGACAAGAGGGAAAATGAGGGGGGTAACTCGTACTCACGATGGGACTTCACTCTGGCGAACACGTGGAATTCCACCGGCGCCTTGCACTCCTTCGAAATATTAGGGCGTTTTCCTGGAGAGCCTCCTTTCCACCTCGGGGTTTCCTGGGCACCAATACTAGAGCTGGGATGAGCTCGATGTATCGAAAATCCTCTTTTTATCCGCCAATACTTCCGGGCGAATTTTACTGTATTCACTATTACTACTTTCGGGGCACGTGGCGACTCACGGGGCAGCTAATGCACGAGTGACGGTCTCTTCTTTTCCTTCGCGATTCGTGGGGGTTCGTCAGGTGTCGATGTCCTTCGGGTTTTAATTCGGGAGCAATCGGGGCCAATCAGCACGGGTGAGTGGTGACGATGACCACAATCCAGGGATGTCTCGCAAGGGATTATTGCTGGTGTTGAATATTCGGGGGTCTAGTATGGGGAATTTCCAGGAGGCGATGGCTTCTCCAATTGATCGGGTGGGGCCGGAACTGATGTCTTCCTTCGGCTGATGTCTTCGTGATGTCCAGGGGCAGGGGTAGAGGGGCGATGAGGGGAAAAGTGAGGGAAGGGGTATCCAACGGTGGCGGGATTTACATTTTAGGGGGCAGTGTGTAGTGGGAAAAAATATGTAGAAAAATAATAAAAAATAAATGAATATGCCTCGTCACAATATATAATTTTGAAATAATCCAAGCATAACTCGAGATTGGGAAAAATACTTCCAATTTTTCAAAACTAGAGGAGACCGGAGCAAAACAAGACTCTTGGGCAAAATGGCACACTGCTGTTTTTTTCTGTTTTTCAATGAGACAAATGAGTTCAGTGTATTTCCCATGTAACATAGCCCAACAGATCAAATGTTTTGGAAAATGAATTTTCGAGAGTGCAACTTCGCTACGGTTGTACTTTTCAAAGGTCAACGATCGTAAGAGTCACAACTCGCAAGCTGCATACCTGGCGAGAATTATGCATCCCGAGGGTGAAACATCACAAGGGTCATACCTCGCAATGGTTAGGCTTAGGTATTACCGTGCGAGATATGACCCGAATGTGGGTCAAACGTCGCCATGGTCATACCTCCCTCGGGTGAGACGATCATAAGCGTCATACTGGCATATATGAAATGATCACCAGGGTTGAACCACAGAGGCAGGCATGATAATTTTAAAGTTCAGAGGACCACAAGGGCAATCGGGGAAGGCAGACAACAATGTTAAAGGTAAAACAATTACAAGGGTTAACTGTATGAGGCAGGCAGGGCAATCACTGTGTTCAAATAGAAAAAATAAGCATGGAGGACAATCAGACAAGCAAAATGATCGTATAGGTCAGAAGGTGGAGTCATCGGCTTATCTCGCTCGATTTTTGATTCTTCAGCCTTTTTGGTGGTCCTGCCGTCCACCCCGATTTACCCTTGTGATCTTGTGAATCGTCAGATTGTCCTACCTGCTTTCATTGTTTGACCCCTGTGATATTTTCCCCTGTGCCAGTTATGATCCTCGCAATGTTTAACTCCCACGAGGTATAACCCTGGCGTCATTTAACTCTCGCAAGGCACAATCTTTGCAAGCTATGATACTTATTATCCTTATATCGAGCTCCGGCACGCCAATGTTCGCCTCACGACTGGGCCCAATTTGTCAACCAAGGATCGGTTACACGCCCCTCCCACGAGACTCAAGCTCTGGTGCCCAGAGATGACTGAACCTTGTACCAAGCTTGGGCGTCTAGGCTTGGGCAGCCGAGGCTTGTGCCACACTTGGCCAGTTTTTCCAATACTGGCATTTCGAACCGAGGAGTTGGCTCGGATAAGTATGAAACAGAAAATTGTTTTTAATTCGGAGAAGAAAATCCTTTGAGGAATCAAAATTTCCTCAATGGTGAAACAATCCCGAGGGTCCAACAATCATGAGGATCAACCGATAAAGGTAGGCAAGATAATCATGTGGTTCGGTTGATCATAAATCGAATGAAATAAATAAAAGTCTTTCCCGTTTTACCTTATGAGGGTCAAACTTCGTCATGCGTATTTTTTGAGAATCAAATGTACCAAAGATCATCCCTGGCAAAAGTTGTGCCTCGCGACGTTCAAACGTCTTCAGTGTGATATGTACCTTACAAGTCAAATGTCGCAAATATCATCATTTGATAGGATGAAATGATCACAGCGGGAAGCAGCGAAGACAAGCAGAAAAATCTCAACACTCAAACGACCATAATGGTCAACCGATAAGCAGGCAGGATAATTACAAATTCGAACGATAACAAATTGAGCGAAATAATCAAAAGGCACTCTTGCTTACGGTTGCACTCGAGTATGCGGTTGACGTGTACTTATTTAACCCTAGTTTGGTCACCAAATGAGAACTTGCGACTTTGGTCACCTCCGCAGAGAATCGCCGCCGTGTTATTTAGGCCCGAGCGTTGCCGAATTCACTCTATACTGCCCGGGCGCGTTTAGCGAAACTTTGGCAACGTCGAACAACGGGCAATTTCATTTAACATGGGAAAGAATTGCCCGTCTGTTAGAAATAATTTTTTTTCTTCAGTAACTGTGGATATAACTAATTTTAAGAAATATTATAATTTTCTACACACTTGAATTGACGCATTCCAATTTTTTATGATTGTTCCGCTCAGCCAGTCAATGGTAAGAAAAAAAAATCGACCTTCTGCGGCGTTTCCCTCCTATGGTGAACAAACTAAAGTTAATCCTCGAGATTGGCAACCTGCCTCTATTATTTGACTGTTGTAAACGTTTCATCCTTGCGAGTTATAATTGTTACTACGCTACACCCTCACGAGTTCTGATCTATATGACGGTTGACTCTCGCACTTCAATTATTGCTTATTGATGGCAGTTGCCTCTAGAATTCAGGATATAACCATATCGAACAGAAGACGAGTTCCATCCTTGCTTTTCTCCTCTGAACTGCAGAGATCGTTTGGCTGTTAAAAAAGTTTGATCCTTCTGATTACAACCCAAAAAAGTCGTCGTGAATGAAGCTGAAAAGTCAGTCTGAACCAAGTTGGACTTAATCATGCCGGCACTCGACTTATTTGATGTCGAATTGACATGAATCAAGATGAACTCGAACGTATGCAAACCAGCCTATCGATATGATTCAAGCCAATTTTTCGGTTTGATTCATTTCGATTTTTCGGTATGATTCAAGTTGATTTTTCGGCTTCAAATTCATTGAAAAAATTCGTGGAATCTCTACATTTCAGTTCAATCAATGAAACCATTCATCTCCATAATTATTATTAAGAATCCAAGGTCATGGGGTATTGGAGAAAACAATAAACTGCACTATATTATTGTCAATACGCGACGTTTCGCTTGTAATTCAAGCTTCTTCAGGCTCTGGAAACCAACCATGTACATAAACTTCATTAATTCAATACAATACTACAACAAATGAGAGAATTAAATCATACAAATCCATGAAGTTACTCAGAAAACCAATAAGGAATAAATAATTCACGTTCATAGGCAGAGCCAATAAATCTGTACGTCTAAAAAACAAAATTAATAGGCCATAACCAAAAAAATACTTTGACATTTAAGTACATAGTCACATTATTCTCTAATGAAATGCATGTCGAGATCTTTAAACACATCTGTAAATGAACAAAAAATGTAAAACCTGACTAGCAACAATCTCATACGACTATCATCTGTCACTTCGATCAGTCATGGGTTCGGTAAACCAGATGTGACACCCCACCAACAGATTCATCTCCTGCACCACAATCACGAACCATGGAACCAGCCCAGATGTCATAACCCGCCAACAGAAGTGTCCCTTAGCGCCACCAAGCGACTAAACCCTGAACGACAGCCGCGCCTTCGCAGCTCCAACGTCGTCCGCAGTTCTTGCACTTACTCAACAAGTTGATGTACATTCTGCTTAGACCCAGAGTATCCTCTCTCGTGTTAACACTACTCTGGAGGGAGATGTGGATCATCTCGGCGATGTTCCTCTTCCTCCAGTTGCACTCTGTATTCAAGATAGTTGTTTCAGCGAACTTGAAATTATGGCCCAAGTCAAAATGATGAGTGGCTAACGTGGTTTTTTCCTTCTTCAGGATCTTCAAAGGCTTGCAATCCAACTCATGTTGACGAATCCTGGCTCCCAATCTCTGCCTCGTCTGTCCCATATAACAGTCAGAGCATTCGCAGGGGATCCTATAAATTAACTTAGATCTCTGTTCCAGCGGAATGGGATCCTTCAGCTTTGTGTACAGCATATCCACTGTGGACAAGTTGTAAAACACCAGTTTTGAGTCAGTATTTTTGAGACACCGATTCATTCTCTGGGATAGTCCTTTGATAAGAGGGAACTTGAAGCAGAACCGTTGCCGAATTTCCTCTCGTTGATCTTGTGGTTCCGTACGACCTCAGAACTTATGGACACACCTCATGATGAACTTGTTGGGATACCCATTCCTCATGAGAATATCCTTCACCCGGCTTATATTCGAATCATGAAAATCCTCATGACTCAACCTGATCGCACGGTGTAACATCCCGGAGACCACTCCAATCTTGTGTGCTGTCAGATGGTTTGACTGGAAGTTCAGAACTCTTCCTGAACTTCTTGGCTTCTGATACCAGTTAAGCTTAAGGCTTCCATCCTCCATGCGGTGGATCTTCACGTCGAGAAAGCTGAGGGACCTATCCACCTCTCTCTCAACCGTAAATTGGATGCGCTCATACACCGAATTAATAGATTGAAGCACCTGGTCTATTGAATCTTCGGGAAGTGGGAGTACTGTATCATCTACATACAGTTTTAGCCAAGGGATATTGTATAGCAGTTCCTCCAAAACCTTTCCAATGACGTATTCCATCACGATGCCTGCTAGCACAGGGCTCGCAGGAATCCCCATGCTGCTGCCATCGATCTGCATGTAAACCTCATTATCGAAGGTGAAATAACTTGCCTCGAAGCAAATGGTAATCAGCTTAATCACCAATTTCTTCGAGGTACGGACGAAAGGAGTCCAGTCATCCCAGCTCTCGTCCACTATATGTAACACTAGTCTCTTCGGGATGTTGGTGAATAATGAGACTACGTCCAGGGAAATCATCACATACTCTGGAGGGAGCCTGACCCCCTTGATGAACTCCACAAATTCCATGGAATTCTTGATGGTAAAAACAGATCTCTTGGTGACACGAGAAAGAAGTTCATGCAAGAACCTAGCAACTTTGTAACTTGGAGCTTTAATGCAACTAACAACCGGCCTCAAGCTACAACCAGGCTTATGCACTTTCCTCAAACCGTACATTCTGGGCATTACGATGTTGAACGCCTTCAAGCTCTTCGCTCTGTCCGCATCAACCACTTCATCACGGTGGAGTGCGTCCACCAACCCGTTCGTTTGTTTCTCGAACTTCACCGTTCGATCTTTGTCAATCCGTTGGTATGTTGTTGTGTCCGATAGCATCCTCTTCATTACTTTCACACACTCCTCCCTACGCATCAACACCGTGGCATTACCTTTGTCAGATCTAGCCAGTACTAGATCTTGTTTCTCTATCAAGAACCTTCTCGTGGCCGCCACATCTTCTCTCTGTTGATCTCGTCTTTTCGACGTCGGTCTGTTATAAAAGTTCGTGAGAATATTAATCATTTCTGACCTGATTCTATTCTTTTCCTCCATCTGCTCCCCCTCTGAAACACCCCGTACAGTTAGACTCTGAATGCATAATTCCACGTCCTTAACTACCCTCGGAATACATACGTGAGAATTGTTAACTTCAAGGCCAAACTTCGGCTCAAAGTACAGAACACGTTTAACCTCTTCTGGGAGAGGCACTGTTGTGATGTTGAAGATGGTTGTGTCTTGATGAGTAGATATATTCACTGGAGCTGAATCAATTTTGAGTGATTCGAGCTTCTTCTTATTTCTAGTCTTGACGATTTTAAAATTAGTTTCGTGGAATTCTGCTAGTTTGAACTTTATATCCTCCATCAAACCATTGGGGAGAAAGCCCTGCAGGTCAGATACTAAGAACTTACACTTCTTCTCTAATTCAGTTATTTTCCACACAGTGATACTGATTTCTAAGCCAAGAATGGCATTACTCATCCTCCTGACTATCATGTCTGCTTTAGTTTTGAACAGATGGGCGTCCAACTGAATGAGAGTGATCAATTTAACGTTGTTCATAATGTGTTTGGGTACGATGCCGTACATATGACATTGAAGTAAAAAACCCTTTTATTTCTCAATGCTGCTAATTATTTCGTATTATTTTTCCGTTCTCTTCAGTTCAATTACTGCATATGCATTTACTAAAATCAAGAGAATTCAGGTGAATATAGTGTGAAATTTTGAATAAATCGAAAATTTGGTGTAATTTAGTACTGGACACTCACTTTCAGGTTGATAATTCAAGTCAAATGAGGAATTTCCATTTCTTTTCTCAAAAATCTGGAAATTTATTGATTTTTCAGTCGCAATGCACTTAGAGTTCTAAAATGTTGTACGATTTGGGAGCACAAGCAGCATTCTACTACTTTACTGGCCAAGATCAAGGCTAAAGTTATATTCATACCAGATCTTCATTTATTTCAACAGACAATCTTCATTCATGGTGGCCATGCAAATAAATGACATATAAATATCCTTATTTGCCACTGCTTCACTGAAATTTCATGGAATTTCGTTTTCAATTTCATGATTTTCGTGAAAAAATCCCTGGAAATTGTCAATTTTAATTGAATTATTTCAAAAATATCCTTGAATTTTCATTTCCTTGAAATTTCAGGGAAATTTCTGATTGAATTTTTCTGTTCGTATTGAAAATTCGAGTACAATATGGAATTTTCTTCTTTGTTCCACTGGTAAATTAGAAATGTCCTTGAATTTTCAGAGAAACTTGAAAATTCTAACACTTTCTTCCATCACATTGAATTCAGTGTAATTTCCCGGAAAATTCAGATTTTTTTTTCAACAGTGTACCCCTTGTACCCAGTGTACCATTTCGAGGATTTTGCCCATTTTTCAGAGGGCGAAGGGAATGTTGTAATGTAGGATCATGGTTGTTGCATTGAGAACGAATTCACCATACAGGTGAATTAAAGATTAATAAGTTTATTCGGCGGGGCGTTGGAGAATGTACAAGTGATCATAATATTATCACAATTGACTTAAAATATGGATGACTACTCAAAAAGAGTCTAACTGAAAATCTAAATACTCCGGAAATTACCCAAAACTCCAACACAAGAGTCTCTGTTGACTCGTATCGCTAAAGCGAATAGGTAAGGTTGCGTGTTGCGATGTTGTCTGGTATTTCTAAAATCTCAGACAACGTGAGGATTTGCGTGTTGTGTCAAAAAAGTGACAATTGACGTAGACTCAAAATTGACTCAAACAAGAGGCGGTATCCTGCGAACGAAATTAGCTAAAATTCGAAATAATATCTCTTAGTCCGGAGGAAAAGATCCAAAAGAAAAAGAAATAATGGAAAATACTTCCCTGAGAACTCTTTTTCTCCTTGATGCCCGTAGTGCAGTGCACACCGCACACCCATTTGATGCCCGGTGTGCCCTTGCTTGATCTAATTTAATTACTTCATTTTTGGGAAGAGGATATTGTTCAATAAAGAGAGAGAGAGAAAAATTATGAAGTAATTGAGAGGTCTATATTCTACGGAATTGATCTTGACTAATTCTATAAAAAGAAAAGAAAAGGAATTTACTAAATGCGGTTCGGTACTCATAATAATAACAATAGAAATGAAATAATACTTTTGTTGAATGAGAAAAATAAAGAAATTGAAAATAATCAAAATTAATAATAATAATCATAATACAAAATTCTGGAAACTCTGGCTCACCGAATTCGACACAATGCAAAGGAATGAAAATTTAAAGATGATTAATGAATTGCTATCCGGAGAAACAATACAGAGGCTCAGTTGTTAATTTAATAATTTACCAAAAGATAAATGTACGGTGCGCAGGTCCGTAGATCCAGTGTGGGCTTCCACAATGCCTCTTACCCACGATACTAGCCGAGATATGCCCTCTCTCTCGCTGATTTATCAATACGAATAGTATGCTAATTCATATTGATGATTGATGAAGTATTGAAAATCTTTGTGTTTCTGATTATTGGTTACCTAATGAATGGTAATCCGTTTCATTGCAATTGACGATTACTCGGTTATCACTCAATTCCCAATTTTCAATTACCGATTAATGAAGTCATCAAAAAATGAAGAATCTCAATTAAAAAATTGATGGTGTAATTGTAACTAGAGCTTAAAATATTATAAAAGTAATGAGTACTGCCGAACCCTGTTCCTCAGTCGATGATCTAAATTACTTAATATCTTCAACACCCTCTCGTAAAATAATATCACTAATCGGAAAGAACATTTACAGCATGTTTTAAATCATTAAACCCAATCGAATTAAATATTTATGTCTCGTTGAATCCAGTCCTTCGGTCAATACATCAACTGGCATATCCCGTATAGGAATATTCTGTATATTGATTAACCAACTTTGACAGACTTCTCGAACAAAATGAATACGAATGTCGATGTGTTTCGACCTAACATTGATCGTATGACTCTCAACCATCTCCCCAGCACTTTGAGAGTCATTTCAAAGTGTCGTACAACCGACCTCAACCCCAATCTTTGGCAGAATCCCCCGTAGAAATAGTGTCTCCTTTGTGGCATCCGAACTGGCCATGTACTCTGCCTTTGCACTCGACAATGCAACTGTACGTTGCTTCCTGGCCTCCTAACTAATTTGTCCATTAGCCAGGATAAACGCATATCCAGTGTAAGAGCGATCCATATAGAAGTTCTCCAGTCGATTGATATCTTAGACCATAATCCGATGTACCCTTCATAACGTAAAATACGTTTCGCCGATTTCCAATGGGAAACATCGTAACAAGAGTTGCCCTGAGTTGATAGATAAAACAATCCACCAATGAGTTGTTGATATCGATGCTGTTTCATGTCTTTGTCATCAGGATATTCTGGACGAGACAATTTACACCCTGGATCCAACGGATTAATTCCGGGCTTGCAATCCGACATTCCAAACTTGTCCAACATCGAAATGATGTAATCACGTTGTGTAAGAACAATGTTATGATCAGTCTCATCCTATGTGAAATCCACTCCAAGACACCGATTCACGAGAGCCATATCTTTCATCTGAAAGATCTTCGAGAGATTGTCTTTCACCTCTTGAATCGAACTTCCGTCGTTAGAGGCAATCAGGATATCATTCACATACGCACTGATGACCATGAGGGTGTCTTGATGTTTTTTGAAACATAAGCATGGATCGTACCCAGTCGACTGAAGTCCAAGTTTTACCATCTCATCCTGCAACCTCTTAAACCAGCAGACTCCAGCTTGCTTCGGACCATAAAGAGATCCCTTGAGTAAGTAGACAGGTTTGTGACAGATCTCCAATGACTTTAACCAATCATTTGTAGTCTCCAGCATCTCCATATCTTGAACCATCTCCTTCTTCAATCCGACCGATTTCTTGTTGACTACCTTCGACAGACTCTTGAAGATTAGGAGGTATCTCCATAAAAATTTCCTTTTCAAAGATCCATTCAGATAGACTGTGATCACATCCATCTGGTGGATAGTAAGACCATATTCAGCTGAAAGAGCAGATAAAATTCTTACAGATGTTGACCTTGCCACTGATGACAAGATTTCTGTGAAGTCCACCCCCGGTCGCTGGGAGCAGCCTTTAGCCACCAAACGTATCTTTTTCTTTTCACTCGAACCGTCAATTTTGGTTTTCAACACCAAACGATTTTCTATTACTTTTTGGTGTGTACGACATTCGACAACTTCAAAAACCTTGTTACATAGCAAAGAACGATACTCGCCTTCTAAAGCCGCTCGCCAGGAAACACCATCAGAAGACGTCTCCTTCCAGGTCATCGGATCAACATGCGATGCAAAATTAGCAAACACTTCGTCCTCTGGTAAACTAGAATCCCCAAAATTCTCAGAACCTTCACCCGGAGTAGAGTCAGCAGCATTAAAAATCTTTCTACAGGGTGTCCCAGAAGTACATGCTGATCCTGAACCAGCATGTACAGGGGGTGATTCTGAGCCGAAAAGTCCTTCTCCACTTTTCGATCAAAAGCACCCCTCCGGAGATATTGGGGTAAATCGGACAGCCAATGACGCTGCAGCGTTAAGCGGCAGTACGTCCGTGTGGCTCCGCGCACCGGTGTGTGTGATTCCCCTTCTAGTCAGCAGGAGGCGGGATAGCGTTTTACGTTCACCCGTGACCGAGAGAGAGAAGGAAAGATATTTCTCTCTCGCTCTCTCACATCTCTCTACGAAAATGTTTTTGCCATTATCTGTTAAACAATTGGGTTTAGGGGATTTTTCCATTGATTATTTTTTGTAGCAAATCGAATTTGCAACAAACTAATCTTATGCAAAAATTACGTCAACCCAATAGTTGATTAAATAATTGCAATAAAGTCTTGAATAATTTTTGGTCATTATTTAAAAAACTATTGGGTTTACATCATTTATCCATCAGATTATTTTTGTTGCAAATTCGATTTGCGACAAAAAATAATCAAAGGAAAAATCCCCTAACCCCAATTGTTTACCACATAATTGAGAAAGAGCGTGTTTCTTCGGAAAAATTCCGAAAATCACAGCTATCCCCCTTTCGATTTCTGAGGCAATTGTTCAATTGTTAATTATCTCAAATACCAAGAGGGTTAGGACATTTTGTCAATAGATCTTTTATCTTGTTAATGAAATTTGACAGAAAAAAGTTCTTCTAACAAAATCTCTTGAAATTATCGGTTGAGGAGATAATTAATAATTAATTAATGACCTCGGAAATTCCAAGGGGATGGCCGACGATTTTCGGGAAATAATAATCAATAACTAAATCTTGTAAACCCATTTGTTCACAAGATAATTGTAAAAGAGTTTTTTTTGCGAAATAATTGAGAAAATTACCCCCGTCCCCCTTTCGATTTCTGAGGCGATTGTTTAATTGTTAATTATCTCAGATACCAAGAGGATTAGGAAATTTTTTCAGTAAATCTTCTATCTTGATAATGAAATTTAACAGAATAAATTTCTTTTGACAAAATTCCTTAAAATTCTCAGTTGAACAGATAATTAACAATTAATTAAT